GAATTTATGGACTAGTATCAGGCATATGGGCTAATATTAGATTATGGACTTGATCTGGAATAGGTTGGGATATTTTCTCATTATACAATTGCTCTTTGATATAAAGCTCTCTCTTACACACATATGAGTGTCTCTGGATTTGTTTCTCTGGATTTGTTTCTCTAGTCAACCCAGACTAACAATTAGAACTGATTAGAAAATAAGTAGTATAATAAGTCTACGTTCCACAAAAGAAACATTAATGATTAAATCAGAAATAATAAAAACCTTTAAAATAACTAAAAGACTAGAAGTTGGTTCTTTAAAAGGGTTAATAAAATTGACAAACAAGAACAATTAGGTCCAATAACATGGCCCAGCTCGATACTCACCTTCCTGAAAGGATCACTGAAGATTAGGTTGCTCTCTGTTTTAAAAAGAAGCCTGGTGGCCATTCGTAACAGGTTACAAACTAAGCTGCTAACCACAGAGTCAGCGGATTTGAACCCATCAGCCACTCCCTGGGCAAAAGATGAGGCTGTCCACTCCCATAAAGATTTTTCAGTATTGCAAACCTAAAGAGGAGTTCTACCCTGTCTTAGATGGTTGCTATGAGGTTGAATCAACTTGATGGCAATGGGGTTTTTTGGTTTCTGTTTAAAACAATAGTGAGAAAGATAATGGACCATACCAAGTGATGTAAACATCTTTTAGAAAATTTTGTTCACTCATTTAATCATTACACACAAATCAACGAGTTCTCTACTGCTACACATTTTTCTCCATGATACTTCTCACATTCATGAATGGAGGGAAAAGCAAACAAGAAAGCAAATAAACAGTTAAATAGATCATGTAACACTTCAAAGAAACATTAAAGGCAAAGCAAAGAGCAAAGTTATGAAAATGAAAACATCTTAGACATAACTAAACACCTCAAGGGAATGCGTTTCTGGACCTGAAAGCTCAGGATAGTATCTCATAGATACAATGGTCAATTGCTATACTCAGTTCACAATGGCAATGGTCTTCATCCTATTTTGGTGAGTAGCAACTGGGATCTTAAAAGCCTGTGAGTTGCCATCTAAGATACAACGATAGGCCTCTCTCCAGGCAGAGGAAAGAGGAATGATGAAAACCAAATCACACATGGAAATAATTAGTCAATGTAGAGTTGATATGTTAGTCAATGCCTCGTGTCAAGTGGGTAGA